AAAGTAATTTATTTTATGTGGACTCACCTTTGGGACAGGCCTGAAGAGCACCACCACACAACAGGCAAGGTTCACCATCACAACAGTCGGCGTGATATGGTACGCGATCCGTTGCACACCAACGGTCACTGGTAGTAGTCGGCCGGTCACAAAGCACACAAAAGCCCAAATCAGCGTTCCTAGAAGGCCAGCTGGGTTGAGGCGCAGTATCCTCGACTACCAAAGACAGGCCGTCAGCTGCAGACTTTTAGCCTTGACGCAACAGGATTTGCCTGAACAATCAATTGCTTGAAGATGGTTCCAGCCTCTGAAGCTTACTCATCACTCCGTTCAGTTGTTTGCGAGGGCCGTCAAAAACTGTCGGTGGTGGTTTGGGGACAAGTTTAAAGGGTACACTTTTTCCGGTAGGTTGTAATAAGACAGTCATTGTTGTTGGATCGGGAAGCAAGCAAAGGAAAAGTCAGTGATGGATAGTTTTTACTGCTAGGAACGGATTGATCTCGAAATACAGAGAACAGGTGTATACAGGGGAGTCACAACGCCTGGTAGAAAGGGCATGTGCGTTCTCTAGCACAGGTGTCAAACGTCTGGGATCATCTGGATGTTTGCATCACAACCTATAAGCTAGTTTGCCTAGCTTGCCTCACTTTGTTTGTTCGAAAACCTTCATACGGCAGCAGCGACGGTCGTGGTTTCAGGTGCCTCAAAGCAGGAGAGCATGCATATGTAGTCATTCGACAGACCACGTTTAGAACGTAGGCGTCACCCTTCAGGATTTAACGTCTGTATGCATCTCGAATTCCCGAATGAACCATTAGGCGTGCCGGAACACATTTTGAATTGCATGCTTCAAAATACCGAAGTAATGTACCCGGTCTTTAAGGCGGCCGTTCGCATTCTTCACAGCGTTGTTTGTCACATTACCGAAATGAACCATTTTTGACTGTGTGTGTATGGCCCATTTTAGGGTGATGTACAACCAACGGGCCGTAAGACAGAAAACAAATCGAGGATCGACGCGGCGCAGAAGCTGCGGGTCTTGCCGACGTTTGTGTGCATGTAATACGATGAACAAAGAATCTACTGTACAGCGTTGTCTAGGCAAGCCATGCGGTGAACTATATACCGGCTATTAGCAGGTTGTGTCTATGACCAAAAAATACATGGATATTAAATGATACATACGGGCTTTCTGATAGCTTTGCGGACATGAAAATAGCAAAGCATCACGTCACAGCCAAACACGACTCTCGCTACACGCGTTTGCGCCGCCAACCTGTCCATCACGAAAGTCTTAACCGGATACTTTTCGCCCAACATTTCCTTGAATAAGTCGAACAGTTTACGCATGAGAGCAAACTGCTCTCTCTATGAATGCGTGCATACCCGGACGCCCGGTTTCCATGCTGTCCGTTAGCAAGAAGGTGTACAGCTTATATCTACATGCCGAAAATTAGGTGCTTTAAGAAACTTATCCGAGGCGGTTTGTCGCAGGCGCTCCGTCTATATTCACTATATCTGGAAAGCGTCGGAACAACGCCATCTGCTGTCATCGGGACAAGCCTATGTTGCTGTAGTGACCTTCCTCTGACTGGCACACAAGGACACGTCCGGTCCCTTGAAGTTTTGCCAGGACCGAAGGCATATCCGCCATATCAAAACCCAACTATTTAACGCCTACCCATCATACCCGGTCGACACTTCCAGCTGCAGTTTTATATATCCTGAGTGGTAAGAATCTTGCCGAATCCATCTGCCACAAACTACCGCACCTCACAAGAGGGCGTTCCATATTTTAGAAGGACCTTGCAAGTTTCCAACTCGTTTTGGGTTAGCAGTCGATTAGCTGGAAGCCGGTCGTACAGAAACTTTGACAACTTGTGGTTGTGTTCAAGAAAATAAGGGGCGACTGCCAGATAGTTCTTTTGCCACCGTAGGCTAGACTGTTGATGCTTTGTGCACTTTTTTATTAGGGAATATGCTCGGCCTACTGGCTTGTTCGGATTCCCCGGCTTTCCGTTAGTTTTGCGGTTGCCTGCTGCATCTTTATTTAGCCCATTCATAACGCAAAACAGCGTTGGTGCTTCGATTACTAGACGAACGCACAAATACTACAAAGTTATCTTTCATGTGTTGATTTAAGGCCTCCTCTTATGCCGTGAAGGACGAAAACGATACAGCCACTGATTTCTCAACGAACGCTTTTGAAGCCACTTCCGAAGCCATAGCACACGAAGTTCAAAGCCGAATACACACCAATAATTTTCAAAACGGACAGATTAAAACAAATCGCAAAAAATGATGGCAGATGGGACTGATTTTTGGACTGAGCACATATGCAAAAAAGTGCATTATTTTGACGCTAAAGTTTATGGAGAAAAATAAATTGTGCGCCCAAGGCGCGCTGACATCGCGGGTTCAGTTTGTCTTCAGTTGTTGTGTCTTGCTGAAATTTAGTGCAATTCTGCATCGGTCCCTTGGCTTCCTGCTCCGCCACCATGGTACATAAAAAGGCACGGCAGCTCCACACAGACCTTTCTGAAGACAAAGGAAAATTAATACGGCTGTGCTTATGGGGTAATCACAGGGTGCTCCGCATGGTCGAGCCAGAAGCTCCGTGAGGGGGCGAAAAGCGTCGAGTCAAAGATACTCGACTCGGATTGGTTGGCATTCTGGGCATGCCTTCGGTTGGTCCGTGTTCCGCACGTGACACATCCGTACAAGTGATGTGATGTTCGGTTATTAGGGACGGATGGCCTCTGAACAAGCTTGTTAAGTGCAACCCGCGGTGCCTGCGTTCGTTTCCCGAACGGAAAGGAAAACTGTTTCTCTTAGACATCTGGCACCCAAAGCACCAAACATTTCAGATGTCTATTTGATCGAAACAATCGAAAGCGTAGCCCCTCCTCCAGACGAGACTGAATCACATTCTCTTGGCCCTTCTGGAGGCAAAACGCCACCATCGGAACAACCCAGTGAAATCCCAGAGAATGCCCTACAGTACATCACAGTCAAACAACGTGTTCGACCGTCTTCGAAACCGCGACGCCTTATCTATACACTGCTGAAAACAACCCCTCTGGTGGGGAAGAATTTTATATACTGACTTTGTGTTCAACTGTTTACTAGCTATTCGTTAAACTAATTGTGTTCCCTGACGTTTTGGCTGATGTACTGCAATTGTTAGATTAAAGTCAATCATTCGGCGATCCTCGTTCTCTATTTCTTGCGCAACTATTCGAGTGCGCACACCTCGTCAGGTGCTGGACCAGCGCTATGCGTATAAGCAACCCACAGTTCTAGTATTCATATATTTCCAAGGCGCATTCGACTTCGCTGACAGGTCTGTTCTTCTTCACACGTTTGCCAACCAACTAAAGCCCCGGTGGTTTGGAAACACGATATTTTATTTGTATTCTCAGACTTCCTGACTTGTGAGTATACGGAGAGCTCTCGAAAAGCTTCCGTGGGGATGCCCACTCTCCCCATTCATTTCTGACATTTTGTTGGATGCGCTAATGAGACGAACGCCGGTGAGTCCTCAAAATCCTGGGTTTCAAACAGCATGTGATGCAAAAATTGTCCTTCTAGCATACGCAGACGACAACGTTCTCATCTTCCAAGAGGACGATGAACTGACCGAAGTCATCCCGTCCAATGACATGCATCTTGCGCCCACAGCGTAAAGTCATGCTCGTAGACGCGCAGTCACTGAACGCGCCACTTAAAACCCTGGGAGAAGTACTGGAAGTTGTGGAGCGTTTTACGTATATTGAAACTTGTATTAGTTCTGACTGTAGTGTGACAGATGAGGTGAATGCACGAATCTGCAAGGCCCGGGCCGCGTTTGCTGATTTGAGACACCTATGGCGCCAGAATGGCTTATCCCTGAATCTGAAGGGACGTGTGTATCAAGCTACAGTACGGGCTGTTTTGTTGTACGGCCGTGAGACTTGGCCTATTCGAGCAGCGGAACTGAGACGTCTTCAGGTGTTCGACAATCGTTGTCTCAGAACCATAGCTCGTATGGGTTGGTGTCGGCGAATCCGTAACGAGGCAATTGGAAAGCAAGTTTTCGGTCAGGTAACGGGTACTTCAAATGTTGCGTTGGTTGGAACATGTATTGCCTATGCTGAACCACCGTTTGACGAAGAGAGTGCTGTTTTTCATATCCTGCTCAGGGTGGCGTGAGCAGTGATGTGGCCAGCCCTAGACTTGGCAGAGGGTATAAAGGAGATTACGAAACGCTTGGGTGCTGCCGGTGCTACTCGCCTTCCAGTATGCGGATCGCGTGATCCCTACAGCGCCCGGTTGGAGACACTACAAGATATGGCTGCCAATCGATGCCGGTTGCGTTATTGTTGTCAGTTTCTATCCAGATTGTCTGAGTCAATGTCTGGAGCTGTAGGCACCTCGGAATGATTCTGTTAAGCTAACACCAAGTCCCTCCCCCGTCCACCTTTACTTTTTTCTTTACAATAAGGCTTTCAAATAAGTTATGGTTGTACGGCAGTGAGGCATCGGTGTTGAACACTGTTGTCATGCTGTCGATGATTATGATGATGTCAGTGACGTTCGTGCTGTCAGTTCCTTTCCAGATTGTCTTATTGAGCGGTTGGAGGTGTAGGGACCTCAGTATGTCTGACATAAGCCAGAACTAGGTCCCCTCCCTCACCCACTCTTTTTCTCCACTATATATATATATATATATATATATAATAAAAGCCCTACGGTGGAAAGAAGAGAAAAAGAGTGGGTGTGGGAGGGGACCTAGTTCTGGCATATGTCAAACACTCTGAGGTGCCCCCTACTCCAACCGCTCAATCAGACAATCTGGAAAGAAACTGACAGCACCAACGCCACTGACATCGGTTAGCCGCCATTTCTTGCAACGTCTCTAGCCAAACACAGACGGGGTCACGGGGACCCCATCCTGGAAGGCGTACAACACCAACAACACCCAAACTCTTCGTGATCTCTTTCAGCCTTTTTGCCAAGCCATGTGCTGTCTACCTCGTGGTTAGCGCCAT